GGGCCGAGTCTCTTCATTAATTTCTCACAGGCATTCTGAAAGCAAGTGATATAGACTAATGATCATGATCTTACTCAAATAACTAACAAATTAATGTTGCATTATTATTAACAGACAATCTTTCGTAGTACTGTGTATCCTTAATATGGTTTGTCCTGTTCTATAGCAATAGTACAATAACGTCATTTCGAAGGAAATATATAAGGGTTACGTACTGGGAGGTTTTGGATATGGGGTTAATCCAGAGGGAGATATGCATATCTACCTGAGGGACCGTAGGGTCCAAACCGACCGTACAAAACTGCTTTATCCTATGCCAAGTAGAGTTTTCAGGGGCATATGGCCATTTCAATAGTACAAAGTGTAAAAATAAACAAATCATTCATATGCAAAGTCATTTTATTGCATTACCGGAAGCGGGAAGATATGCACCGGAAGCGGGAAGATATGCACCGAAGCGGGAGATATGGAGGTTCTGGATATGGAAATCCAAAATCAGGATACGGGATATATCTTACCAACTTATCTCCCTAAAATTTTTATCCTCTTAATTAACTTTCACAATCAGGATAAATAGTAAACTAATGATTAAACATATTTTCAAACTCTACATAGGATCTTTAAAACACAACATTTAACATTCCTATTACCTTAACTGCCATCCCAAACACATCAGAACCCATACTTCCCGCAGTCATAGGTGCGTTTGGAACACAGTTCGTGGTTGTTTCCGTTATATGGATGACATCCTGTGGAACCTTTAGAACTTTACTAGCAATCTAAAACACAAAAATAGTAGATAAAATCAATGTAAAATCAACAGTATAAAATTTCGACACCAATGCAATTAACCAATACACATACACCCTCCCGATAAAACACAAATAAGGGAAAATCAAAATATTCAAAATACGGGCCATTAAACCTTACATTCAAGTTCATATCTCAACAACAAGACAATTTTGTAAAAATTCAAAACAAATCTTTTTGCCTCACTTGTCATGATTACACCCCCTCCCTCCCCCCGACTAAAAGTCATGTTGGCTCCGGCCCGGGGGTTCTATTGAAAACTATATCATCAACGTTTTATCATTATGCAGAAAGTCCAATATGAAATCTAAATCAGGTTAATATGTTGCATTTATTGAAGGAATTATAATACACTGTAAACTATAATGTTTGATATGAATATGAATACATCCATATTCTCAAAATCCATTCTTTTGAAATAAGATGTTACAATACCCTTTGCATTCGTTTGACTTCACTTCTTAAAAGAGAGCTTCGTCTTCGTCTGTAGTTTAACTAGACTCTGCACGCAGGGTAATGTTACAACAAAGGCAATTGAAAACTTTGAACCTGGGAATCTAAACTACACTCTGTTAAGCATGATAAAAGGCAAGAAGTTTAGTTAGAAATAAAAGAGTTATCTCATGAATGGGACCCTTACATAGCTCCTAAAAGGTAGAAGACACTAAATGGTGTAACACTATAAGCTGAATTTTGTCCACATAGAGCATGTGCACAATACTAAAGACATGTAAAATTGAACTGTCAAAAGAACTGAAATATACTTACCAGCTCGCCTCTTCCGGAAGTTATGATACGTTATGGTGTAACTACGGTAATTAATTTTAAAATATTGAAAAAATCACAAAATACAAGTTCTGAGGTATATATCGCCATTTTTAAGCGAATTAGCCCATACTATGACTATATATTCGCACCCCCATATACAGATATATATAAACTTCATCTTCACAATAAATTGAGCTTCTTTCAAATTTCCATTTTTTGAGATAAGTGCCATTTTCTTACAATTCAAGCCGTAAAAATAGTTGGAAAGTGCTTCCCAGTTGAGGTTAATGGCTTTTATACTTACATTAATGTATGGAGCACTTAAAATGTACTTAGAATCGTATAAATAGCTCTATTCTGTGAGATTTATTTTTGTTTTTATTTTTATATTTTTCTCACCTCATAATTGAAGAGCTCCGCTGTTGATTTGCATTCAGTTACACGTATTTCCTTGAAAATTCGCCATGATTGGAACAAATGATGGTTGGTTTATGTTTTATTCATTTAGTTTGTATTTGAATCTAGCTACTTAAACACAAAACATGTCTTCATGTTATGCTAAAGAGCAAAGATCGCGAATTCTAGGTGAAGCCAATTATTTTGCACAAGTCATATCCTGATTGCATCATAGCTCTGCTTCTGTAAATACTAAATAACATGAAAAATGTTAAACCTTACATCCTACACTTATTTGATATGAAATAGGCGATCATTGATATCATTTTTGTGCTGTTAAGTGTGGATCTTTTAATTTTTTAGTCAAACTTGATCGCTGATCTCTGTCGATGTGACGTCACGCATTAAGTATGCACGCATGGGCAGTACAATACATAAGGCAATATGGCGTCTTAGGCCTATACATGAGCCAGAATGGAGGTCTGCAAGTTGAAATGAATATGTTTGTTTATGCATCAATCGATCACACATATAATCCAGACAATCTTTCAAATCATATACTTAACATTGTAATGGATTTATTTATTTTGTGAGCTAACGTTCCCTTTAATTTTCATTGGTGAAGCAATGATTTTACCTAAAATGAGTCCCTGTCTTTGCATAGTGATATTTAAAAATCGAGAAGCAAAACCTATGTTGAATATACTGTGTATTGATGAAGTTTATATATAGCCTAGGGGAACTCAAAAATATTGTTATTATATCGGCAAATTCGCTCGAAAATGGTTGTACACCCTAGAAATTGAATGTTGTGGATTTTTTCAATATTTTAAAATTAATTACCGTAGTTACATCATAACGTATCATAACTTCCGGTAGAGGCGAGCTGGTGAGTAATTTCTATTATTTTGACAGTTCAATTTTACATGTCTTTAGTATTGTGCACATGATCTATGTGGACAAAATTCAGCTTATAGTGTTACACCATTTAGTGTCTTCTACATTTTAGGTAGAAGACTAAACTTCTTTTTCCCTGGAGGCAGGATTCATACAGGATTCATATGTGCATATGAATCCTGCTTGAATCCTGCCTTCAGGATTCGAGGATTTGATTCACTTTTTTGCTGTGTATGTGACAGCGTCCCCGCTCTTTAAATTTTCAAGTTTTTCTAGCTCCTGTAGAAAATACTTGCAACAGATGACTGGAACCGTCTGAAATATCCTGCATTTCGGTAACATTTCGAAAAAAGTAAAACATTCGGCGTGAAGGTATTTATATAGTTGTTCTATAGTTCCATCTCATGCGACTTCACTCTACTATACCTTGCATTTGGTGTTCATTAACAACCCATTAGGCTTTTTTAGTAATCATTATGTTATTTGTTTTTATCCGTCTGTTCCTTATTTATTGTTTATAGGATGACTGCTAGATGTTGATAAGATACTTTCAAAAATATTCTAAACAATACATTAGACAAACAGAGTATCTTATGCATTTCTAGGGGGTAAAGTAGAGTGAACTTTACCGGATTGAACCCATTGAACAACCTGAATCATCTCCTAATTAATATCACGAGTGAAGATAAAATTCAAGACCAGTACCTAAATCTGCAGTGAGCTCGCATCGAAGATTCTGGAATGTGTGGCTTTTTCAATTTTTGTTGAGCTGTGTTGCACTATGTAGCATCCCCCTTTATTTGGGATAAAATCATCACCATTTTGTGATGCTGTTTCTATGACAATCGTATCTAATGATGATGCGATTATCACTTTTTTTCATTGTGACGTAATTGTTTTGTGACATTATTTTGGTCTACATGGTCACATTTAGTTCATCCATTTTGGCAAGGTAAAAAACAAAGATAAGAGAACAACTTAGGTCTTGGAAAAAAGAAACTTGTCATATTTGAGTTTTACCCCCGCCTCATTGAGAAGAAAGTATTTACTTTACAATAGTATATTGATGAATCTCAAAAACCATTGTTATCTCCAGTTTTGCATGGTGAATAACTCGTGTCCACTGTTGTAGCTAATAATGATGGTATGTTTAGGGGTTGATTTTAGAAAAACTATGATATACAGGCATGACTAGGAACCAACAAAATTGCTTGTAAGCGTTAGAAAAGGTTTAAAATTTATTTTTCATAAAAATTATATTTAACTGTGCTGCCAAATTACCAACTGTATTTGTATATATAGTCACCTGGAAAAACTAAACAATTTTATTCCAAGATACATAGCATGTACATTATTTGCTATAAGTTCCTCTATCACAATCCATTCATGTGTTTTAATAGTGCATTTGTGCCGCAAACCTTGACTGGTAAATCTGCTGAGGGGTTAGGATTGGTGCGATGGCTTTGATTGTTCAATGTTCTACAAAGCACAGGTGAAGTGTTTAAATCCGGCAGTAAATACTTCCAGTATACAACTAACAGGCGAATACAACTTATGATCATCATATGTGTGGTGTTTATTCTGGACAATACAGTTGTCATCAAGCACAATTATAATTTATATGCCACTAGTATATATGCTGTTTGTACTCTCTTACTTTAACTCTTCAAGGACTCCTTAGGAGAAATGCCAATGCCGTTACATTGGGACTACAAGCTAATCTGCATGTATGCTACAGTTTTATCACACGAAAGAACATATTGCCATGCCAAAATGTATCTGTTATGTATTTACATTAGTCACTGGATATCGAAAATAAACTAATAATGATGATGTTGATATCTAAGTCATTGTACGTCATATATGCAAGTCATTGAGGACACATGTCCTTTATTATCTTCGAATTCGTGGCTTACATTGCTTACACAATTTGTCCATATATTCATTTCACTGTATTATGATATGATGCAGACCCTCTTTGCCGTGTCAGCTTACACAATATGTCCATATATTCATTCCACTGTATTATGATATGATGCAGACCCTCTTTGCCGTGTCACCTTACACAATACATGTATGTCCATATATTCATTTCACTTCATTTCACTGTATTATGATATGATGTCTTTGCCGTGTCAGCTTAAACAATATGTCCATTTATTTATTTCACTGTATTATGATATGATGCAGACCCTCTTTGCCGTGTCAGCTTTTTGTTTACGTTCCTCCAACTCAGCCAGCATCTGCAGTGCTTGTAATCCTTTCACAGCCTCGTGAAGTTCATGAAGTGGCTTGGACCTGAAACGTAGTTAAGATCAGAAGACGATAGAATCATCGATATAATACTCCACTTTTGCTGAGTAAACGGAACTTCAAAACGGTCCAGATCTGCACTTTCAATCCGGTGTGAAAGAAATTATGGTCCCCCGGGGATTATGGTCCGCTTTCCTTAAGGCCCTTACTGGCCCTGACTGTGTATAAATAATAAGGAAAATAATTGTAATTAGGTCACCATAGAAATCAATAGAGAGTAGGACCAAAATTTGATAGGACCACCTACCCTTTTTCACCGGCTCCGGTTACGTAATAATAGCTAGGTATAATATAAACTAATATTGATTGTCTAACTAGGTTAGCTCGAATATTTTATGTTTTAAATATTATTGTACCTTCGTTTCTATGAGAACTAACGTTTTGAAATGCATTTTTCTGAACAAGTTTCAAACATGGATGACTTCATTTCTCGCTTTTTGTCAACCAATTTTCTTAATCAATCATTCTGAATCATTTTGGCAAAAGACATGCGAGGATAAATGCTATGGTGTGAATTATCGCTTATTTAAAGATATCTGCGACCTCTAAAAATAGTTTTAAATAAATTAACGTTTTTTCGAACAAAAAGTTCTTCAAAAACAATCTTTGAGATTGAATAAGAAAGTTTATGGGGTATACGACTATAATATAAACCAATCTTGATGATGGCTTAATAATAATATTTCAATCACAAATATTCAGTATATGTAAAGATATGATTATATGTTATATTTTTAAATTATAAATATATATATAAGGGTTATGTACTGGGAGGTTTTGGATATGGGGTTTATCCAGAGGGAGATATGCATATCTACCTTAGGGACCGAAGGTAGATGTGCATATCTCACGAGGGATGAACCCAATATCCAAACCGACCGTACATAACTGCTTTATCCTATACCAAGTAGAGTTTTCTAATTTTCTTTCAATTTTTTATATATATATATTTTTTTTTTTTCACATTTTTCTTTTTTTTGAATTTTTTCTTTTTTTCTTTTTTGAATTTTTTATTTTTTTAAATTTTTTCACATTTTTTCTTTTTTTAAATTTTTCTTATTTTTCAATTTTTTTTCGAAGCGGGAAGATATGCCCTGGAGCGGGAGATATGGCGGGATATATGGAGGTTCAGGATATGGAAACCTCAAAATCAGGATACGGGATATATCTTACCAACTTATCTCCCTAAAACTCTACTTGGCATAGGATATGATCTAGTATCTCATACTTGAGTGGGTTTGGGGTAGATATCACCCGGGAATATATATCGTATCTGAGGAGCGGGCAGGATATATTGTATATGTCCCGCTCCAGGCCAAATGCGGGCAGATATAATATATCCATCCCGCTCCCGGGAATTTTTCAAAAGTTTAAAAAGGTTTAAATATCAAAAGTTTTAATTTTTTAATTTTAGAATTTAATTTTTTTAAGTTTAAATGTTACAATTTCATTGCATTGAACAAAAAGATTATTACGAAAATGTTAAATGTAAATATCTTGTCATTTGAAAAAGGTGGAAAAGGTTATATCTACCCTAAACCCACTCAAGTATGAGATACACCAGTTATGCACGGTCGGTTTGGATACATGGAATATCCCTTGGGATATACAATACATCTTCCCTCGGTCCCTTCGGTCCCTCGGGAAGATATATTGTATATCCCTCGGGATATTCCCTGTATCCAAAACCTCCCAGTGCATAACCCCTATATATCCAATCAATAAAAACCTACAATGGTATATTTTCCATTTTTATAGCATCTGAAATCTGCAAATTAAATACCAATTGAAAGGATACTTACAAATCACTGGTCATATTGGCTTTCAGCATATCCTCTGTAAAAAGAATGATAAATATGCATAAACATTTGACTAGCACTATTTCTATTTTTATATCAAACTGTAGATGTCGAATGGTGAAATGTTTTTGCATCTGCTATTTGCTTTTATGTATACACGTACTAGTCCTATACTGACAAACAAGGGAAGTGTTATACCTAAGTACATATATTTTCACAGTATAGAATGCAAAACAATTACTGATATGTGCATCGGAATTATAACTGTATCACTTCCACAGTGCTATAACGTAGTTTGCGTTTTTTAGAAATCGTACCTCCTGATGCTACGAATATCACAGCTTTCTTGTTTAGAACCCACTCATTATCATCGACGTCTACAACAACACGTTCTCCAGCAGCTCGCTTAACAACTGCAGCGTGTCCCAAGGCCTGCATACACAATACTTCAATTCATATATAAGGCATTAACATGACAAAATGTTCTAACCTTGTAAGTTCCCCGGGTAAGGTCATAATTTCATAATGGTCAGGCAGCTAGGTCTTAAGAAAGAAGATTCTGAAGATCAAATTGTTGACCTTGGGAAATCTATTTAAAATAAACACTCAATGAACTCGAAGAGATTCAGTTCACTCGTTTCTAAAAACTAAATACTTGTAATAGTGTTTTCAGTGTTACTTAATTGAAATGGCGGGGATTTTGACTACGTCTCTAGTTGCGTACATTTTTACCAGACTGTAATACTTAACAGAAACATTAGTATTTGGTTTGCTCAACCTCTTACTTCAATCATTTTCGGAGCCCAACCACCATGTCCTTTCTGGAGCTGTTTCACCTTTTCATAGTCATCAATAATGACGATTAACGACCCAGACTCAATTTCTTCTTTCGATGTGTCCACCTTGGTTAGAAGGTCGGGATTTATGCACCATCTATAATGAAGTTGTTAATTCCGAATTAATTCCACATTATACTGTAGATAATGAAGGTTATCATCTCCTAAATATTGAAAGTTTAACACTTGAAATGCTCGAGGATGTCGGGGGTCCTTTTATAGATTAATTGGCATTGAAATGTCCCAACGTCTCGCCAATAACAAAAATATCTAAGCACAAATTCCAAAGGTTGAATTTGTATCACAATTTTGGAGTCAAGAGTATTGGCATTTTTATTGTTTAATATATATTTTAATGATTTTAATATGGATGGAATGTCAAAATAATGATTTATGGTATTTTAGTGTTTGGATTTGAATGGTAACTGAAAGGTGGGTGTGTGTTAGAAATGGTGTCTTTGTCCGTTAGGTCATACTTTGGATGTTCGATTTTCAATTTCTTTATAACTAATGTTTCTTTAGTCGATGGCCCAGCTTGCAAACTACAGATTATATTTAGATAATTTATATTCTTTTTTAAAAATGTATGTTGTCACCATCCTATGGGTACTAAGGGCACTTGGTGAAGAACTTTCACTTTGACTTACATGCATAATGTATCTCTACTCGACGTGGTTATAATATTATATCCAGGATTATAGTGAGTCAAAATTATTCTTAGATACTAGATTTTAGGTTTTTTTGTGCCATAAAATATTATTTTATCAGAATGACCACAAACTACAAAGAACGCGGCATACTTATCACTGTTGATAAATTCTACGACAACATCATTATCCTCATCGATTGTGTGCACAATTCCCCGCACGCCGATTGCCTACAAAATATATCATCTGAGTTTTTAAATGGCACCAAATTATTTTGAACTGTATCAATGTGTCGACAATTTTATAACAACGTGTCACTTAAAAATAGACCACAATTCAATATCCCATTGTAATCCATACCTTCAACATTTTCTCACTGCATCCCCCATGCCCCTTTTGCTTTTGTTGTAATGTTCGAGCATTGCAGTTGATCACCACTATATCATATCTGTTGAACTTCCCGGATGTAGCTCCCTTCTCTGGACTTTTTGACAACAAAGCTGGGTTCACTGACCACCTGCAAAATGTAAGAGTTGTACTCCATAGTTTCTATGCTCACTTTATTTACTTTTTCATAAAACTTTTGCTTTGTTAGCATATAAACGTTAATTGCTATGCCATTATTAAGTTGTGTCGTCTATATATTCTTATCAAGATTTTTGTGAAGATCGTGAAATCTAGAAATTCGACACTATGAATGGACATACTTCAAACCATTTTCAAACTTGATTTTCAGGACATGGGCCAGCTTTTCTAGAACAATTCCCCTCTTCCCAAGACACTGGAAGAAAAATATAAATACAACACAACTACGAGTACATTAATAAGTTATTCCTCGAAAATCGCAAAAATTCAAGAAGGACAGTCAATAATCATACACCACTTCGCTTGTAGGCAGCCATAATCATGTTTACCTTATAATTGGTATTGAAAATTAAAATTAAAATACTTACGTTTGACATAGTACTGACCCAACCACCATATCCATCTTGCAATTCTTTTGCCTTTTCAAGGTCTCTGGTCATATAAACAACATCCCCGGATGAAAACTACGAATACAACAACATAATTGAGCTACAGTATATCTATCAAGGTTATAGGCATTACTATGCTGCAGTAATCTAAGATTGATAAGTTATTTTTTGGTGTGTATATCATGCATTCATATATTTTGAAACAGGTATTGTTTACAGAAATCACAATATCGTAACATAGTATAACCATTAATAAAAGTATGTTGCTTACATCATCGGAATCATCGTCAGAAAGCATTGCCATCAACATGGCAAGTTTAAGTGATGTATCATCATCGTCGTCGTCATCACCACTTTCACTTTCAGCGGCTGGCTATAAAGACGAAAGACTAGCAAACGTTGTGTATATCAAAATATAGAATTATTAAAAACCATTAAAATAAATTCTGCCGTTCAATTCTATTTCAAATGCTTCTTTATATTATATAAATCACTTGATTTAAATGATTTTATCAGTAACGTTCTGACTTCCTCCCTTCTTAGAAATACATTATCACTGTTTTTCTTCACTCTTTATGTCGCCATGTCCCTTTTAATGCAAAAGACTGTTATCTTGCCTAAACAGGAGATTGAACGCCAAGGCCACTCTGTCAGGGCTAAAGAGGTACGGGAGTATAAAGAAACAGATTTATGACATTTGTCATTCATTATCATAGGTTTCCTTGTGGTCATTTTCTGATCATTTAAAGGCTTAAAGCATGGAAATCGTTTAAAATGTATTTAGCAGCTAGGCAACCTCAAAAAAAGTTTAAATTTTAGAATATTTTTGTCTCACATGCTGCTTGCAATTTTGTCACCCCCCCATAGATCTGATTGTGCATTTAAACAGATCTAGATAGGTAGACCTACATAAGGCCTATGCATTATCTCCGGGAAAAGTACACATAGAGATGAAAATATTATTTGGACTTTGAGATAAGCCATACAAAGAAAAAATGCGTTCGTTTGAGATGAAATATCTCCAGGACAGTTGAGCTAATTGTGTGTGTGAATATGTGTCTAAATGTATGTCTGGTGTGTCTGAGCGTTAACACCAGATTGACTGATGAAACAACCTTTTGTTGGATTGTCAAGTTGATCGACCGGTCTAGAGCATGACCACACTCGGGAAAGGCGCTGATGCCGTAACCATATGGTCGTTAGTTCGAAACGTATGGGCTCTATAGCGTTTATTCATTGATTGGGTGATGGGGCTCCTTCCCTTTCTCAAAGTCCAAATGACTTCATCATCTTTGTGTGTATACGTATTTTTCCGGTAGAGAATGCATTGATCTAGCATACGCACTTGTTAACACTGATCAGGAAACATACCCATGACTGTCTGAAATATGTTACCATAACTTCTGTTGTTTTCCTTTGCTCTACCATTGATTCTCCAATGATAGTCTATGATCGATAGATCGTCAAGAGTGATTGTGAATTCCAAAGATTATGAATGAGACTCAGTTCACATATAAGCTTTCTTTAGTTTCATATCAGAATTTATTATACCATTTGGAGTAATGCACATAAATTATTTAAGTCCATAAACTATATTCTGTGAGTGGCTTCCTTTGAACTATACTTGCATTCATTATCTATCCCGATATAATCACAAATTATGATTAAAATTAGCATTAGGCTACAAAGGGGTTGTTATATCGAAGTATTAAAAAACAAGTATATAAGTATTTAAATCCTTTAAAGTGTGCGCCAAAGTTTAAAACTGCGCAGGCGCACCGCTCTCGCTAAACTATATAAAGAGATTACCGGGTACACGATTCAGAGGTAAGCCAGGAAGGCGAACGATCTTCGTCTCGTGATGATTTCCCATATAATAGTAACCAGGGAAGTTTCACCATTGAAATTGAAAATTACTATTAGATATACTTTGTAGATGTTATTTATGAAGCTATTTAGTGTTTGCATCAATCAAATGGCTCATTTTGAACATATAAAAAGTATTTGTGTTTTGTTTCCCAGGGAATTGGATTGTATGTAGTACACACATAAATAGTGTACATTATACAGTACTTGAATAGCCTGGTTTACATAATATTGAAGGGCATGCTGATTACATGCACACGAGTACATGAATGAAGGCCTAATATTGATATACGTAGCTTGCATACCTAAATAAAAAATAAACTCTTCTAATCCCCTAATGTAAACACGGCGGTATACGTAGCCCGATTTATCGGGGACTTTAAAGTGACACACCTTTTTCTCTTCCTCCTTTTGTTTAAGTCTTTGTTTAACCATTTCTCGTATGATTTGATATCCAATCCCCTCAGTAGCTGAACTAGAACCTCCAGACACATCTAAGTAAAGCAAAATACTACGAATAAATGTTTTACAAAGATGAATAATTGTAATTGAAAAATGTTATTTAGTCGTATGAATATTACATATTACTACGTGCAAGTAAGTAGTACAAACGAGAGCGACGGGATAAGTTGTTTTACACGTTTTTTAAATGCTGTTGTGCTCTTTTGACGTTGTGTGGTTAATCCCAATAAGCTTTAAGCAATAGGTTTTTTTTATCTATATTGGTGTTTTTGACTCCAGATTGTACATTATGGCGTTTGATTTGCGGATATATATTGACCCTTTGTTACGTTTTTGGACTTACGAGACTGGATTGTGTCTGTCCTACCTCAACTTGTATGAATACTAGATAAGTATCTACAACTACGTTTGATGTTATGAGTATTAGTTATCAGTTTAGATTTAACTTGACATTGTAATGATTTCAGTATGAATGAAATGTCCCTTGGTACTATGTTCCCGTATTGTGATAATGGTACTAGGGGGAGGGGGTATAAGACATTGCTTCTTTTTACGTCAGATCATGGTTTTGGATAGTCGGGTGTGTTTCCTTATGATTTTACTTATAGAGTACTCTTGTTCTGTCATTTAACAGTTTTCAGACCTTTCCCTTTGGCACTTGTGCTTGCATGTTGATAATTTGTTTGTCTATTAGTATAGGATGACCATGTGGTGTCCATTTTAAAACCCAAATGGAGACACACTGCAAATACAAGTCGCCTTCGTTGGTATAAAACTCACTGAATTTATGATCCTCATGAAGCCCTATCCCTTCACAGACGCTGCATAGATCATAGTTCTCACACTCAGCGCATTTGTAGCGTTTACCATATACATCATGCAGACAACCATCGCAGGTCACACCGGGATGCTTCTGAAGACTTTTTTCATTGTCTGTTTGGTGGAAAAATAAAGGTTTTAGACAAAGCATTTCTAAATGAATCAATACTACAGCATGTATCCTTTCATCAAGGGATATACTGATCTTACCTGGTCTTGAAATAAACCTTTGCGGCTCGCTAACAGTTATGAATGTATGTTGCTTGTGGATACCCTTTGCTGCACATATTTCGCAAAGGCTGTAGTCATCACACGTTGCGCATTTATTTAGATCACCGACAATTGGCCCCTCACACTCATTGCATCGCATTCCATAATGAAGTGCCCCTTTGAAGAAAAAAAGAACAATTGCAAGTGACAGTTTCGAGAACTTAATTTTGGTATATATCTAATCTATCCCCGATTCAATAGTGTTATAACCATCAACACTCCTGTAAAAACTGGGCTCTATCAGTCGTCTCTAGCATTCACATTAGCTATAGTAATGTGTATGTCACGTTTTTTTCTTTAAATGACATACATTTCCAAATTCTCTTTTAATATGATTGCTTGTTAAAAGCCAAGCAGTAATCAAAAATACACATAAGTATAAGTACATTATGTTAAGAAAAAGTAAGCAATCAAACTGATGTATTGAATTCAGATACAGATAGTGAATGATAGAATGAACGTAATATGGAAGGGATGATTTGTACACCTTTTCCAAAACAAAGTATATATTTACACATATCTACATCTACTAAGAATAAGATTTGATGTAAATGAAAGTGAGCCTTCAAATTTAATTAACTCAAATTCAAATTTACCATCTTTTGTCCATTGTTTTGTGTCAACTATTTTCCAAAATTTACACCTATCGTTATACTGCTTTCCTTGTGCTCGGCAAGAGGCACACCAGCTACAATCCCTGTGTTTGTAACACAAGTATCTTATGCCCTTTATTGGAGACTGTTTACATCCACTACACTTCGTGTGTCTGTGTGTAACCGCAGGGACGACAGCCAGAGAGGGTTCGGCAGCTTCTCCTGAAAATATCCCCTCGTTAAAATATATGCAATTCGTTGCATGGGGGGGGGGCTCGGTTCTTATGAAATCATGCAGTGATTTTGGCAAATCCTGGCTACAGGCCAACTCACATAGAATATGACCATGTAAACACTTGAAAAGGAAAGATTAGTAATTGCATTATCGAGATATCTTCTAAAAATAAAAGCAACAAAAAGGAAAACCCAAAAAACGAATCAAAGAAACACCTGATGAACTGAAAGAAGCGTACCCGATGGTGATTTTCTTGGTGGTAGAGGCGGTGCTGGTGTTGAAGACTTCTTTGGTTGTGGTGGTAGAAGAGCTGAAGGCGGGATGTCCTTCTTTACAGAGGCTAACAAAACATGATAATACTATTATGCACTTGTACCTTTTATCACTGGCTGCACCATGCCCCCTGGATCCGTCAGTGGGTAACGTCACAAAACTTAAATTAATTGTAATTAAAAGTAATTGATAGATCGATTCAATATCCAATTTTACCCTTTAACAAAGGAAGTTTGCAGATTACTTGTTTATTTCTCTTATGGTTTTGTGTGATCGTTTAAATGTGCTTGGAGTAACTTTATAACTAACTTTCGGTTACTGTTTTGTAATATATCATTCTAATCTTATATTTAAGAACTCATTACCATGCAGCCGATCCATGTGTTTCTTCACTTCATTAGTAGATATCCTATCTTCAGCACGAGCGCCGACCATTGCATGAATTATTCGTTTTATATCTTTGATAATGTCAGGATCACTACTCACTATCGGCGATATCTTCACATTTGATCCAGCTTGAGCTAGAATCATTCCCATCGGCATGGGCATCGACATTGGACCAGCTAAAATTTAATCGTGGGAATCGAAAAATATTACTTTCATTGAAAAAAATCAACATTTGAAACAAAGGTTTCGATTGTCGAGCTGGGGTCGTAATCCTCGCCGACGGATTGAAAGATATATTTTACCAATATTAGAATTTATTTGGAGGAAGACATATTTTTCATTAAAAATCTCCCTAATACTTCTCTAACAGATCAATGAGCGTACCCGCCATCGGAATTATGTCTCCCTTGTTCTTTTCAGAATCTAGCATTCCACTATAGATCAAACCAAGGGAAAATACATCAACACTTGAAGTATATTTCTCTTGTTTGAAGATTTCTGGCGCCATGAAGCAAGGTGTCCCCAAAGACGTGCTCATCATATATGTCTGCATGGAGTTGTCTTTACCCTCAGCTAGTTTTGATATCCCAAAATCTGTCAACTTATAACAATTAAAATATTTTAATTTCACAGTAAAGATGTTAATACAGACATTAAGTATACTACTACTAATGATAGTATTGCAATTAATAAAAAAAATATCGACTTACAAATAGAGAGACTGCTACCTATAATTACTATTATTGATCTCTGCTAAAATGGACTTTACTCGGCACTTGATCAACTTCGAGTGTAAAGCCCCAGTCACGCTTGCCATGGCGACCGAGCGGTCTACCATTAACATGTTTACGGTCGCCTTAGAATTTTTGCGGTCGCATACCTTTTTGCAGTCATATTTCCTTTGGAAGCCGCACGGTGAAATTTGAATTCCTGTTGATATAAAAACCACGGTTGCCGTACGGCCTTTTAACACGGGGTACCATCGAATAATTTTGGCAACGTACCGGAGAACGACATTTTACTAAGAAATGGCAATCATTTAGCACAATATATTTTTTAACTAGAGTTCTATTTTGATTTTGACAAAAGTAAGTATTCCATGCAATAACTATTTCATTCATGAGTTTGTAGGAATTCTGTTGGAACCCAGTTTTGATCAAGTACGAAGTTATTGAAATCGGCGCAGACGGACTTTACTCCGAAAGATGGTTTTTCGATTATAACTTTTCACAACATTTAAGTATAGACTTTTGAAAAAAGTACAGAATAGTCCTTATACTTTTGAATAATTCTGTTATTTCTGATTGACATCTAAATTTCCCAATAACGTATTAGCACAGAGCTTGGCATATGATATATTCTCCAAATGAAACAAAGCAGTTCTAATACAATGATTTATATTGACTGTTGTACATGCATTCTTTGAAACATCACTCTCTCAATAATGTTTTCAGACTTATTATAAACTTTATTCTAAGACAATTTCAATTAACTTTATTTTACAAAACTCCCCTTGTTTCTTGAAATGGACTGATCCAGTTGACTCGCCTGGAGCCGCCATATTGTTTTTATACGGGAAGCTTATCGGAACCCTTTAAGAGATTGTATTGTGTAAGATAGAGGACATACTTGTCCTTATAATATAGAATTATTTACTTTGAGATCGAAAATTCCATGAATGTTTTTCGAAAATTCAGAAAGTTATTCCATTATTGGAGGGTTCCAGTTTTGAGTAACCCTGTATGATTAGCCGTTCATTTTTGATTAGCTTCTAAGAACTGAAACTTAGGTAAGGTTGTAAATATCTGGAGTCAACAGGTCTCAAGTAGGTTGGATACGTTCATATAGGCACATAAACAACCAAGCACAATGTTTTCAACGACAAACTGCGTTTCGTTTCTTCTAAATTGACCAGGCTTTAAGTCCTCGTTGGAAGGGAATCGTGTCCCAAATTAAAGTACCCCTCCTGGTTGGGTTCATACACGGAACTAAATTACTATACTGTACAATCAGGTCTAGAGGTCTAAAATTGTTACAAAACGAACCGTGTACAGGTATATATGTATAAACCCGTATATAGCTTTTACGGGGCATTGTATAGCTTTTGAGGCCCTGTATGGCTTTGAGGGGGGGGGGCTTGTGAAGATTTTTGGGGCTACTAGGGAGCCTGTATAGCTTTTGGGATTACTATAGGACACACCATTGTTCCGAATCCTAATCCGCTCCAGGTCGTCCAAATCCCAATCGTCCGAATTGCATTGGTTTGAATCCCAATCGTCCGATTCCCATTGGTCTGAATCCCAATCGTCCCAATCCCAATCCGAATCAAAATGGTCCAAATCCCATTCATCCGAAACCTAATGATAAAAAAATACCAATTGTCGATACAATACAAATATATGAGGTATTTGGATTTAAATATCATGATAGAAAGACTTCACATTTTAGCTCAAGGTATCTAAAACCTGCATTCAGTTCCGTTGACAAAATCTTGGCGAATGACGTTTCTCTCTTTATGTGTAGGCTTAAGGCAAACACGAAAATGAGGCTTTGGACGTTGGATAATAACGCATCTTATTTTAAGATTCAAATTAATTGTGAACATTCTTTAAGAATAAGTTAAGTTACAAGTAGATGTGAGTCGCTTTTTTTTAACCCGAACTAGAAATAAAGCCCGACGTTTACTTAATGTGGCAGCAAAAAATACAAAGTGTTTAATTTAATATTTCAAATAAACATGTATTGTTGTATTTTATTTCATTCAATAGTCAGACATCAAATTGATGCATGTTTCACACATTGTTCACACATTTTTCTTGCATCTTGATTAATAAAATTAAGCGTTACTATGCGGGATTCGGACGATTTGGAGTCGGACCATTTGGATTCAGACCAATGGGATTCGGACCATTAGGATTCGGACCAATGAGGCAACCCCCTTACTTAGCTAATTGGGACTTGTTGGCTTTGGGGAAAAGGGCTATATACAAAAGGGTATACATGGCCTCAAAAAAGCTATATAGGGGCCACTAGTGGCCACTAGTGTATACTTGGACCACAAATAGCCCAAAGAAGCTACAAGGTTCCTCTTGTATCCCCGAAAAGCTATATAAGGCTAAAAATAAGCAGCCAGGGGCCTGTTATTCCCAAAAAGCTATGCAATGGGACCTAGCGGCCCCCATAATCTAATATACATTATCCCCAAATCTTTATATACTAAATAGTGTACAAAATTCCGAGTATCGGGTAAAATAGTAAATCTTTGACTAAAGGCGTGGATAACTTTGAATTTTCCATTGTAGTTTGGTTAACTAACTGTATGTTTGAATGTAAAAATTCAAGGTAATTTCTGATGCATCAGATCTTGAAGAGCTTGACTGGAGCACTGGTTTGCGTTTTGTTACATCTTACACTAATTGTAATGAGTTTTGTGTCACGTCTGAACGTTTCTGTATATCATTACTTTGATGAGAATTCTTGTCAAACAATAAAATGGTGGTACCTGTACACGGTGCCAAATGCCCCTTGTCCAAGTTTGGCAAGTAAATCAACTGTGCAGTTCGAACTGATCCGTATACGATCTTCTGTACTTACAGCCATCTTTGCAATAACCGTTCCTCATTCGGATGATATGAACTGCAGTTCACGCATCACCAATGGCTGCCGGATGTAAACATTCGTCAAATTCGATAAAATGAATGAGTACTACCTAGCTACATCTAGTGTAATATGTGTATTAATTGGCGTGTGCAACCGACCGCGGTGTATACTTTGTCTCTTTGCCAACATATTAATCAGACGGGTGGGAGTGCATAATTTACATGCGTAAGCCATAAATATAGAAGACTTACGCATGTGTTTCCATTGAGATAAAAACTACCACATAATAAGTATGGGAAATTGGACTAGCTTAAGGTAAAGACACATTGTTACCGCGGTTAAATCGATATAAAAATTGAACAGAAAATACAATTTAATATAAGTATGTCTTAACTATTCTACTTCAGGAGATAAAAGTGTTCCAACATCGCACAGTGTGTGGGCTCAAACTCTCACCTGTTATCGAGTAAAATATCTTCCCCCCTATTCGTATTTATCAAAACTTACTTCTACGACGCTCGGTACTTGAAGGTAAAATCCATTACCTTCGTTTTCAAAATGGTGGAACATAAATGTCGATTTTGATATTTCTAGGTGTAGTTTTCAGCGAATCTAGCCATTTTGCCCTAGATATTCTGTTTTAATTTCCGATGACACCGAGCTTATTTGTCTTATTAAGTATTTATGAGATTGCAGAGTTTTGTATTAATCAAGATCGACATTTAACATCCGCCATTTTGACACTACTGTTACAACCTTCTCCTTATACCGACCACTGAGGGTGATAAAAGCTGTTTTTCTATTGAACTACTCAAGAGAATATATCGAACGGTTGATCATCTCGTTATCTCGCTATGCCTGTGCTGCGCAATCATATCACGATGTTAACACTTACTGAGCATTATATAAACAGTTCTGAGAATTATTAGGTTTTTAAAAAACATCTGACGTAATCAAAAGCCCTGTATGTATTTGGCTAAAGTTTATTGAAACTTGAACATGATTTGAAAAAGTTTAATCACTTTTGTATATCGGAAGGGTATCTTCCCGTTTAAAGGTTCAAACATACATTGTATATTAATTCGTTAGTCATAGGTTAATAAACATCATCACCACACCTTGCGAGGCCTGCTCTAGGGGTATAAGTTCTCGTTTGAAAGGCTTATATTTTACTACATTGACTCAGGAATAGTGGCGGGTCATAGGTGTTATTAAAAAGTGTAGCATAGAAAATTGAAACAAAAGTTGTTGTTTTTTACATTTTTAAACAAGCGCGTTTCGTAAGATACGTGTATTTGGAGCTAAAACATGCATGACATACATCGGGGATTTTTAGAAAATAAACGTGTCGAGCAAGGGTATGACATGTATGAGCCAAGAATATTTTAAAATTGAAACAATTTATTTGCAATTCCTACTAAGTCCACTCGCTAGATCTGATTCTCCCATTAAATCGTTTAACGCAACAGTGTCTTTTCGTTTTTCAAACAAACATGTGATTTGTAGCACAGTATAAAAATCAAACAAGATATTATCAATAGATCAATTTCGAAAGTTCAACTCAGTTCTGGTCTAAACTTAGAGAGCCAAAACGAGACAATCAATCTGCACATAATTCCTCGTTGAAAAGGGCTAGTACCCGATCGAACGTCAGTGATAATGATGATATATTCTTAGATAAGCGGTGATAAAGTTCGAAAACTTTTTGATATGGCCTTCATTGTAATTTAACACGCATAATTCACTGTTGGTCTACTTACAGGGCGTCCGGAAAGTAAAGATATAAAGGTTCTTATATGAGTAGCTGTGCAAGATCGTCCATTCTTGATGAGCTTTGATAATTCTTCTTTATCGAGTCGAAGACGAGATAAAGGAACATTATCAAAGCGAGTCAAGAATGGACGATATTGCACAGGTACGAGTACAAGAAAGTTTTTCTCATATGACTCTGTATTATGCCATATTTTCACAATTTTATCATAAAATTGAGTGAAAAATAGCTTCAAATTAATTGATCTTTCAATTGTTATGACGTCATAAAAATATTGAAAAATACATAGATACACGTGGCAACAAAGCTCCATTGTTATGACGTCACAACTTAGTTTTGTAGAATCAGCATGGATACTCATAGCAATGGTGTATGTCCGTTGCCATGTTGTTATGTTTATAGACCGGTGATGTCACAAGTAAATCTCATCTTGCACGTGTGGCTTTTTAGGATGAAAGATGGCAATATCTTGCATGGGGTAAAGATAGCTGTATCTTTGTTAGTCATATGAGAAACACATCTCTTTAGTATAATGATATCAATGACCCATATAAAACTGTAACGTTGCTCCATATACCCATGACTCCTGTTACCATAACAACCATAAATTTTGAAATTGTATGTCAGAAAGTTGCAGGACAAATTGTTATAATGTAATTCTACAATCTGTAGCAATTTCATATCACAACAGGTAAATCTTCTGAAATTTGAGTATTTGTATCTTTCTTTCCGGACACCCTGTAAATCCACTTTAAAATTACACTTTATGCTATTAATTTATGATTATTATTATGCTATAAATTAACAATTATTATCTCGAAATAAACATAACAAATAATGTGGACCTCAGAGACTGTTGTGGTTGACTACAAACTATATATATGAGGGCAGATTTGTTTTAAAATAATATACGAGCGAGCAAACTTATCTATAGATTCAAATATGTAGACTGAACCATCCAGTTCAAAACTAGATAGTTTTGAACTGGATAACAGTCTACATATTTGAATGAAGTATAAACACGTATCATATTAAACTATGCAATATGTTGACGTCAACTTCTGTTTCAATATTTGCCAAATAATCTTTTCAACCATTTATGACTGGTCCCAGGACTTATGACTCTATTTCCGTTATCCTACGCCATGTTTGGTGACGCAGCCTGGTTCCCTTGAGTGACATTAGAACAGCATCTTTTCCATTCAATCGAGGTTGGGCCATGCAGCCGAAGGTAAGCCATACAACCGAAGGTAAGCCATACAACCGAATTTTGCCGATTCAATCTGACGGAGAATGCCGAGCTTCTCATTTTGACCAATTAGAGACGTCCTCTTCACATTCGTGGTACCCTCGGCCAACTTCGTTTGCAAAGGAAATCTTCGGCAATCTCCGGCTTTTCTTGAGGTATCTTCGGTTGCAAAAAGCCAAATGTCGACACCCCAGTGACATTTGGTTACAAACCTCGCTGCTTTTCTCTCTGTCTCTGCGCCTGTCTAACATATCAATGACATCTTTTTGATGGAGGTTGCGCCTATTAGACCATCGCCACTCAATCACTCATTTTTCACTGAATGTGTTCGAACAAATGACAGGTATTTGTATATGAATAATTACAGATACACGCTAAGAGAGACTTACAGGTATTTCTATAAAACTTGCTATATTTATCACAAACTCACGAAGAAATTCTATCTGTCTATGGTAGAAAGCAACCTACTTTTTCACCTATTGAAATACATGTAAAATTGACAAAGTTCAAATCATAATTTCTCAAATCCCAGCCCATCGAATCCTCGCGTCCATTCAGTTCATGTAGTCCTATCAGGCCCGTAGCCAGAAGTTTTCAAGGGGGGGGGTCACTTTTCCCAAAAATTCTAGGGGGGGTCACTTTGGCATATTTGGCCAAAAATCACACAAAAATGGCCAGAATGGTGAAAAACTGCATGATTTTGAAATAAATTTTGGCCAGGGGGGGGGGGTTCGCCCGAACCACCCGAACTTCCCCTGGCTACGGGCCTGCTTTTTCAAAAACATCCCGTTCGGTTATATGGTGAGAAAAATATCCCACGAGCGAGAAAAGATTTTGCTACATTTATAAGCGAGCATTGATTTTCGGGTCTGTACAAAGCACGTAGGACCTGATTGAAGATTCAAATAAAAATCAATGTATCGCATACTCACTGTCACTGCAGAATATTGCATACTTACCTGCGGAATATGCCATATACCGCAGGTGAGTATGGCATATTCACCCGTATCACAAATACCGCGCAACCATGACTATATGCCATATTCCGCGTTACACTATTTACCTCAATCACGTCCAAGTATTGGATAAACAACATTATTACAATTAGTATTAGGATGAAATAGGAACTAAATACTCACAGTTGCATTGGAAGAGCCATTTTCCTAACGGAAACACGCGCCCGAGGAGTAGACATTAAATGTTGATTTTAAAAATGGCGGATTTCAAATATATCACGTGCCTGAAAGACTCGTAAATGATCGAAAAATAACGACATTTATCGAATGCGGCATTCGGTATTTACCGAAAATAAATAAATACCGAACGTAAATAATTAATTGAATTATACGTGCGTTACGAAGAAAATCAAATTGATTCGCTACATCGCACAAATACATGTCAAAATACCAAATGTAAATACCCTCACAAAGAACAAGTTAAATTATTTAGCAAATATAAATTGTATAGATTATTATATCCGATAAATAAAAAAATATTCGATAGATTTGGTAGAGTTGGTAAATTTTTGGTTTTATTAGGTATGTATGGAATATTTAGTGCACCGAATAAAGAAGCAGTTTAAACACCATTGACAATAAACCAATAAAAATGTGTTAATCCTTACATAATCAAGGAGTAAATCGCAGCGAACGATGCTGCCATAAAGGTGGGCGAGTTGTTTGTAGAATGAATCGGGGGATTTTTTTTCATGAATTTCGCTTATGTTTTTCATCCAAAAAACATCAATACACTTTAAAACATTTTGTTTACTTTAAGATTACACCATGTAATCCAAAAATATATTTCTCATTTTCAAAGATAATCCATGGATTAATACCCAGGTATTTTTATTTTTCAATTTCCAGAGGGCTGGGAATCAATGATGCTCAACGCTTTTGAATACGATAAATGCTGTTTTAAATAGGTTTTACGTATGCCAATAATTTCTCAAATTATGTAAGCTGAATGCATTCCATAATCCATAGAATATTCTCTTGGAGGAATCCAATGGTAATCCAATGGTAGTTCCAAGCAGATTTTTAGATGGCAGGTAAGTAAATTCTTTAGTACTCGCCTTATTGGGTTGAGTTAGTTTATATTCAAAAATTATATATGATTCTGTAAAAATGTCAGTGTGTATGCTATATAGATTGCACACGTACGGTAAGCTGTATAATCCTATATTATGTAATACAAGTACAGTTTTGCGGGTTGACATGATTGTGACTGAGTGAGAGATTAAACTCTTTAAGGTAGTTCTGCATGTTGATAATTTTTGCTAATTTTGGTGATGAATAAATTATCTGATAATTATAAATTGGGCAATGTTTTTGACATTTTAAGTGGATATAAAGAATTATGGTAACATACACCATGGACCATGCATACACATACAATTACAAATGTGAAAATATTGTCCCTTTCATTGATTATCGGTATTTATAATCATGAAAATTAGTGAAAAATATCGAGACATATCTACCTTAAAATCAGATTGGCTTACAAGTACCCTAAGCTATTTTCACATTTTATTGCAAGAAAATCTTTTTGCAAGGGTTACAAAGATTGAAATATTGTGCTGGCTCTATTTGGCTGGAGTTTAATAATCAGACCTAGCTATGTGTGAATTGATTAATAATATCAATCACATTATACATTATAATGAACATAATAAATAAAACCATGAATGTTGTTCATATATCAAACTGGAAACAATCTTCATCAACATCAATTATGGAGGGAAAGGCAGTACTTATTTATAAGACATAAAGGATCTCCATTATTATCTCCCCATGAAAAAAATAAATTCATCTGATTTTTCAAAATAAATATACTGCTTTTATTATTACATTTATATGTACACTAGTATCTTGTTGACCTATATT